GTGGCTACTTCTGGCAAACCACAGAGTGATCAAGTCTCCATAAAAGCACACGGAAGCTAAGGAAGATCCCTGTTTACAAGTACACGCACATACACACATACACATGCTCCACGGTATCTTGGATTGCAAGGTGCAGGCATTCTATGGGTTTCGGTAGCATTGGCATTTTATTTCAGCAATAAGGAATGCCATCGTGATTTCTTCTGTAGAGTTGATACTGCTCTGTTGCAAGTTGTAACGTGCTTCTGCTGAACTGTCAGAATCAATCAAAATCTTGCCTGTCCTTCGTTCTCCTCCTTTTCTTAAAAAAACAACTACAGTTGTTTTGTCATATAGTGAGGTACCAACTTTTCTCTGCTCTATACATAGTGTGTGAAATAGACTTTTGGGGGAAAAAAAAGACAAATCGTGGCAATAAACAACAGCAACAACAAATCAATAAACTGTATATTGTATTTTCATAAACAACACAATGTCTTACTCATTACGGCACTGTTCATCGGACTTAGAAGAGAACGACAGCTCCTGCGTGTGTCCAAGGAGGCTCAGAGCCCCACTGAGCAGCCTGTCGTTGTGCTGTTAGTCCACTGAAGGGCAGCATTCTGGCAGGGGGCTGCACTGCTCAGTCCTGACCTGATCTCCAATCCAAGCCCGGCCGTTGGTGCTATGGAAGGGAAGAGCAGTGAGGGCAGCTGCAGTGCCCTGGGTGTGAGGAAGCCTCCACACCTGAAGCAGCGCTCTCACAGCGCCCACCCAAGCTGGGAACTCACCTCAGGTCCCTCTGCACAGCCACCGAGCTCTGTGCCTCTGACCTGTGCTGTATGCATGGTGTGGGGACGCCCACCCTGTGCTTTGGGAGCTTCCAGCCCCACAAGGGCATCGCTGCTGCCGCTCGTGGGCAGAAGGTGGCATTGAGGTGGGGACCTACAAATGTCTTCAGCTATGAGACTGTGCCTACTTCCCACAATAATTATAACAATGTACATGAAAGGTTCTCAGAAATTGCAACGTGGAATACTTAACGTTGAAAATAGCATAGAGATATTTAGAATATTTTTTCAATTTATACATATATATATTTTTTATGGCCATTATAGGGTATTCAGGAGGGCTTTTTTCTTCTCTCCTACTGAAACCCTCTTCCCTGCATCAATTGCTACAAGTGTTTTTATAGTGCTCACTCACTGGTAAAACTGGCTAGCAAAGCCAAGCAACTGAAAACAAAGCAACTCAAGGACAAAATGAAGTCATCAACACCTCAGCAGCTGAGACGATAGTGTAGACTCAACTTATTTTGGCTTAAGATACTCGCTATTTTTTAAAATCATTTCCAATTTGCCTTCCACTTTCCCAAACCCTGTGTCATCAGCACCACACAAGTTCAGGAACACATCCACTATTGCTATAAGCAGACATGCCTCATCCATTACAGATCCCATGGTACGGAACAATCCAGCTTTAAAGCTGCAAGTACTGTCTGAAGTGTCTCTTACACGGCTGTAAGCCATGGCAAAAATATCTGCTATGCTTTCTGCTCCTTTCATACTGGCTCTCCAACATACATCCCTTTTAAAGAAACTTAAAGCAGCCAAACGTAGCTGGCAACACAAGTGATAGAAACCAAGAGAAAAAATGTATTTAAGTTGTTATTTTTTAAGGACTATTTGTTGTCAGAACGAAAACAGTTGATAAGGCTCAGCAGACATAAGACATCTGGGTGTAAGAAAGGCAGTGAAGCTGCCCTTTCTTTCCTGAGCACTCAAACAAGGCTGTACTCCACCTTCCAGCTTGTGTCAGTCCTGAAAACAAGACTGAAAGCACCAGGCTGTTCCTGGTGGTTACCTTGGGCCTGGCAGTAGAAGCTGCCCCAAGCAGCCATCTGGCTTCCAAAGCTGAGCACAGTGCTGTTGCACAGCACGCAAAAGCCCCACCTCAACAGTGTGACAGCTTCAGTCTTCATGAGGCCTTCGCTTAACAGCAGGTGAGCACTCAGCTCTGACCTCAAAACGCTCAGCACAAACAGGTGAGTTTTCTCACATTTCTGCTTCCCTAAAACACTGCTAAACTCACCAACACTGCTAAATAATTCTTAATGGGGTGTTAGGCAAGTACATGGTTTCTGTGTGTGCTAAACTGCACGCAAGAGGAAGCAGCGCTGTATTACTTTCCAGATTCCTGAGATACCCGAGTAAGAGGCAGACACAGATGCCACGAGTTCTATTTTACTTTAGATGAAATTAAGCATGAAAATCAATGCACTGGTTACCTCTGTTTGCGCTCAGAAAATGCATCAGACCTATTAATAGGTTGCTAATTTAAGCCCCGTCACTATGTTAGCCAGATCAATTATGAAAACTAAAAGTCCTCAGGAAGCAGAACAGAATCCATATTTTCTGTTGGAGTTCTGTGTGAATAAAAAGAAGAGGCAGGAGCTCAGCGAACGTGTCTCGATTAGCTGGGGATGCCCACGCTGCTCTGAGGAGGTGGGTGGGTGCCTGTGCCCTGTGCTCCCCTGGATCCCAGCTGCTGGCAGTGTACAAAGTAGACATGGGCACAGGTTTCTGGGCAGACACTGGTTGCACAACTGAGGGGTTACGACAATTTCTTGCTATTTAATACACTGACACTTTAATATGACCACAAAAACAGCAATGTGTAATCAGATCAAGCAGTAGTCAGAGAAACATTTAAGTCACCCGATACAACAACCAGTGTCACTTACAGGAGCAGCGGAATTGACCTGTAGGAATTTTACAGGAACAGCATACACAGAGTATTCATTTTTAAACATTTATTTTACCACTTGAGAATTTACTGAAAGATGGGTTGAGTTTTTTTCTAAAAATATACTACATTTACTTGAGTTTGTGAAGGTGGCAAACACAGTTATGTACACATCTGCTTTAGCCATTTAGATCACGTGAACTTGCCAATAAGATTCAGTCATGTATTAGTAGCAATGAGTCCTTATCTTTGCAATGACAACAGCATTTCTCCTGGCCCAGATCTTTGGGTTTGTTTTTGTGTTGTTTTTTTTTAGCAACTTCAGGTGGTTGCTGAGCCGTGCTTGCGTCAGGAGAGGAAAAACCACTCACTCCACAAATTATTGATCAGTGTCACCCTCCTACCAGAAACCTGAGAGCAAGCTTAGCACAAGGGTGCACCTGGTCGGGAGGTGGCTCAGATGGACCTTGTCTTCAGCACGGAACTGAGAGTTTCTCATGTTTTACCACAGCACTTTTCATCTTGGTACTTCCTGCATTTTTTTCTGCCATGAGTTTTGATTACCTTTTAGGATGCTCCATTTAGCAGAGAGAAGTACTTTCTTCGGCCAATACCACTTGAGCATAAAAAAATGATACGTGCAATAGTCACTTCCTACCAGAGGTATGGTGGTGTTGATGAAGTCAAGCTTCTTGGACCAACTCTTGCTCTCTGTTTTGCATACAGTTTGATTTCAGGAACTACAGCCTTAGCCAGAGGCTTGTGATTAGATTTAGGGACTTAGGTACCAAGCAGCAGGTTTGTTCATTTGATATATGACTGAATTCCTGCATTCCGGCAGTGCAAGTAATTAATTCTGTTACTCATTAACTGGTAGCTATTAGCTCATTCACTGGCATTGTGCATGCACCCAGGTGTAACCTCAAAGCCATACAATGCATTCAGCCATTCAATTCCTTTTAGAATAATGTTCATCTACAGAAGTGATGCAAAGAAAAACGTCAGATGTGCCCAACATCGAAAACAATAAAGAGACTGATTTTAACAAAATAAATTGGGAAATTAGACTGACAGTAATTTGGACATTTTGATCACAAAGGGTAAATCTCACCTTAAGTAATACTGAAAATAAGAAACTCCAGAATTGTGTGTGTGGTTGACATAAAAAGAAATATTCCACTTCAGACAAGCCCAAAAATCTCAACGTGCCCAATCTTACAACTCTGAGATTTGTTATTTCTAGCTGGAAATGCATCCCTGGCACTGCTGCTGTGCACCCAACGACACCTCACTCACCAGGAGAGCACCCATTCACTGAATGGATGTCATGTGGGAGCAGCAGATGCTTTAGAGTCAGGCCCTTTAGTGAATGCTTACTTCACTGAAGTGTTCTACCCACCTTAGCTTTATCAACTAAAAGCAAAGAATTTTGCCAAGAGCTAAATAAAATATCCAGCGAGCTACTAAGAGATGTCGGTGGATATAACAGGAGTGCACTTAGCTCAGGCTCTAAGAATAAAACTTTGACTTGTGATAGGCACGTGTGCACAGAGCACAGAATGCTGACCTACCGCAGGTGTCACAAAGGATTGTATTCTCTTCCACCTCGTAGGCACAGAAGGGTGGTTAAAACATGGCGTTTTCATGAGACCACTGAATGGAGAAGGGGGCAATGTTTGTAACTAAAGTTATTCACACACAACAACATGAATGCCGGAAGTGTCGGCACGTCTCCTCATCCAGAAGTCAAACGGCTCTCCCACTGAGCAGTGGCATGGATACGTATGGATGCCTGCCACATGCAAGGCATCTGCTTCACATCTGTACACTAAAACTACAGGGATAAAAAGTACACTTTGAAGCAGTGCTTATGCAGAGTAATCTCCAGAAAAAATGCTGATTTGGACAGTCTCCACCTCAGTCAGAGTGGAAATTAAGCACTGCAAATCACAACAAAGAAGGAGCCACTTTAGCTTATGATGGGAGTGAAATTCAAACTTCGTGTTGCCCAGCACCTGAAACAGATATTCCTAGATGAAAGCATGCGTGTACTAAATTTCAGTGTATCCTAAATGTAGCAAGTCTCTCATCTGTGAAAATTTCCATTGAGTTTTCACTCCTTGAAATAGTTTATAGCAAAGGACCTTCAGTACAAATGGCTTATGTAATCATACAATGTCTGATGAATGATGTGTCAGTACAAATGGTTGTTATACATAAAGATTTTTCAGTACTCTGTACAAAGTCGAACAAGGCAAGAAAAATGCTTCAGACACTTTGTGAGTTCGTATGCTTTTTCAGGAAAAACAAATATAATGGTTAAACTCTCAGACAGACAATGAAACGTAAAAGTTTCCATATTAAAAACAGTTGACAAAATTCCTAATGCACACCTTCTACCCTACATCCTGAAGTTGTAAGACGGCCCCATTATGTACAATCATAGGTCTTTTTGTTTCCATACCTTAAGTTCCTTACCTAAAACGTTACAAGTAGGAGTTGACTCCATTTATACATACGTACAGTGATTAAATGCACTTCTTAAAAATAAAGGCATCTATCCAAGAGAGAATACAGGAAACATTCAGGTGAAGAACACATTTTGCTGCAACAGCAAAGGGTACCAAGCGCCTGCAGGACCGCCTTCGCCAGCAACTGGAGATGCTGTGGCAGCTTGCCAGAGACACAAAGGTACTCGGTAGAAAGTCTAATAGAGTAAACATCAAATACAGCGTTCAGAGATCTGCAGTGTTTGTGCACAACTTGCCACCCACTTCTTTCCCTGCGGACAGTGGGACAAGAGTACATCGCAGTTCTCATACTCATCGACTTAGAAATAAAATAAGTCAGGCTTCCTATATGAATTCACACAGTGAAAAGTCCTTCCTCCAAAAATATACAGGATCAGTCGAGTCATTCTCACTCTCATACACTGTTTAAAAAACTATTAAAATTCTGATTTCTTTTTTCAAGCAGCATATTTTGCATTTGTCACTGGCAGGTTTGATATAGAAATCCTAGAAAGTTAAAATTATATAATACAATACAAAACCATGTAAACAAAATGGGTATTTCTAAAAGGCATGCATGCTCTTGTAGAGGATTAAGAAGTGTTTATTTTTGGTAAATAAGAGATATCTTGCTTAGCATTTTTAAAAGCACCGTAGTGATTTAGGAACCTAAACCCAAATCTCTTTAATTTTGATTTGGGCTCCTAAATGTCTAAATCAGTTCTATAAAATTACTTACGTACTTTGAAAATTGTTTTGCCACGTCTCCGATCTCACAGAATTAGATTCTCTGTAAGTAGCAGCAACAACGTTAAGGAATGTCTCATTACTGCAAATCAGTAATTAGCTGTGTGTTTTGGATCCTCTGCAACCTGGTTTGCAGGACTAGAAGAAATTTCTCCAAAGAAGATAAGTATTTTGTGACACCTTGCAAGTTCCTTCGTCGTGGATGGTACAGGACACAGCAATCACACTTGGACAGGAATATGACTGTTCCGTCTGGATATCTATTAGTGTCAAACACTTATTTGATCAACCTGTTAAGACTGAGGAAAGCCAAACTTACAAGAACATCTGCAATGCAGCATTAGGTAAAAAGGAGCGTTTTTGGCACTGTATTTTTAAATCTAAGCGTTCAGGCCCAAGTATAGCAAGTTCAACATACACAGCAGCAGCTGGGAAAGCCTCATCTGAAAGGTAACATTTTAAAAGGAAAAATTCTTGTGAAGATGCTATTTCATCATCAGTAGCTGACCTCCACGTGTTGAATACACCCAAATTTAGCAAAAGTATTCATACCCAACATTTACATACATACCTCACAAACATACATGTAACAGGAGCATATCGAACTGACAGAACCACCAGAATCCACGCTAACAGAGAAAGGCATACAATGTGATGTCTTCACTTTGCTCTTCTGCTAACTTCTTAGTGTCCTGGCTAACCAGTGCTGACACTTCCTTTGAAATTTAGACATGAAGTTGTTTATCTTGGGCCACAATGTTACGGTCTGTACCTATGTGTGTGTATTATCTTTACTTTACAGGTGCTTCTCAATTCTGCAAAGCCTAGTTCATAGCTCTATAAATAATTCCTTCAAAATGGAGAAGTTTGCTTAATAATTGTTAAAAAAGTGCACGGGGCAGCCACGGTTCCGCGCTTTGCCGCCAGGTGTCTCACTCTACACACCAAAAAACACTGCATCAGCAATTTTAGATAAATCCACCAAGCAAGGATCCCATAGGCACAAGATTCGCTAAAGCACTGGTAAAATACCTCTAAAGCTTTACTTTGCATTCAATTGCACAACTTGATCCCATTCATGTTTAATCTTCTCTTTTCCCTCCAAAAGCAGTCTAAGGTATGCTGCAGTTGCTAAAAAGACTTCTGCTTTTCTTGGTTCTCTGTTTGTTTGGTCTGAGGTTGATGACATCTCCACCGTTAAGGGTATCAGAATTCTGGTTGGGGTGACTCCCAATGGCTGTATTGAAAACACCTACAGAAATTGAAGGCAAGAAGAGCATTTGTATTTCTTCCCTCCCTGCAGCATAACACATTAACACCTAAGATGCACCAGTTACTAACTCATGGTAGTTCACCTCAGAGGTATCTACAAAACAAAATAAGAAACCAAAACATTTACCTGTTTTTCTGGTCAATTTTGCAACTAAGTTTGAAGTAGAGCCAGGTGGTATGACTGGCCAGGCAGTATTTAAAGCTAGTATACAACACCTGTGTGTATGTGTGTAATTCAAAGGGAGCACGTGCACTCATCCAAGTAAGTGCATGCTAATTGCATGGCAACAAAATTATGCTTAGCTGAGTAATACACAGAAACATAGCCATTTTGAAGTTAGAAACTGCTGGGATAAAGCTATGGAAGAATGACTGAATAAAAATGAAGTGATTTAAAGAAAATAAATGAAGAAACTCAGGCTTTGTTAAGGGCTGCAGAAGTTTGGTGTTGTTCTACTCAAGACAAAGTTTACAAGAGCTTTTTATTATGTGCCAAATTCTTTCATAGTGAGTCTCTTACCAAAACAAATGACACCAACACTAATTGCATTAAAGAAACCCAGCAAATACCCCTTCTCAAATCCTCAGACAACATTTAGAAGAATTTAATAAAAGGACAGTAGCCAAACATTAGCTAGAAACTTCACTCCAGCTATTCGGCAATCTTGTAACTGCAGTCACAAAGCTATTTTACAAAAGGAAAGGAGACGACATATTAAGACAGGAAGGCAGTTATCAGACCACAACCACCATATGACTCCTTAAGGCAGCAGATGAGACCACAAATGTTGATGGCATAAAATACATAAAATACAGTCTTTGGAGTTTTGTGTTTGTGTGCGTGTGATTTCTTACAGCATACATACCAATCTTGTTGCTGCTTGTATGTACTAGTTCTGGTTCTTCAGCTGTTTGCTGCTTGAGCCTTTGAAGATATTTATCAGCCAAATACTTAAAAACTGGAATGGTAAAAAAACATACATCAGAGTACACTTAAAAATAATACCTACATCAGGAACACCACCCTAATATCAACTGCTGCTTGCTGACCAAAGCCCATTTCACACATCAGGTTTAACACAATCTAGGGATTCCTTCTTGGCAGGCTGATGTACCTGGCCAGGACCCAAACGAGTCAATGTCAATCCAGATTTGAATATATGCATTAAATAGTGAGACTTGGGAATTACTAAGGTACCACCAACAGACAAATCACTGCAACAGATTCTAATTTTAGTGTACTTTAATATAACTGAACTATGAAATAATTTATACAAATTGTTTCTTAACTATTAACAATCAATCACAAATTAATCTGTTCAACAATTCGTACGTCGTAATAATTGAACTTTTATGTATGCACTTTTAAGAGCCCACTGCTCACTGACAGTCAGTAGGGCCAAAAAGCCCAGAAAACATCGGCACTTCTAAATATTGAAGCCCTGCATCATTCATGAAATAGAAGGGAAACGTACACAAAGAAACTGCCATATCACAGTGATATCAAGCAACTGAAGAGATAAGAAGGATTGCCAACAGCATGCAAAAGCAACAAAGAGATACAGTGAGGACAGGACAGACAGCACCTCTGCCTGCCTCCTACCTTCGGTTACGTTGAGGTCCTCCTTCACAGAAGCTCGGTAGAACCTTAACTTTAGCTTTTTTGCCAGTGCTTCTGCCTCTTCGCTGCACAACAGAAAACGACTCCATGAATACTAATTTCTATCGTTTGTCATCATAAATATTGATTTCTAGCATTTGCTCTTACAGACAAAACACTTTGTGTCAGAGTGAATGTGGTAACTTAGTAGGCTAAGAAGCTCAGTCAAAAAAAAAATGCTGATTCTTAATTTCTTCGTGGTATTTTACATGCAGTACTGTAAGGAACAAAAACAATTGCATTGCAGTGTTTATTGACTTTATTCCCAAGGGTCCTAAGGCGGCTGGCAGTGAAATAAAAAAGAAAGGCTGCAATTAACAGAGCACTACAACAGAACAATTACTACTGTAAAGTCAAAATAAACAAAAAGTGCTTCTTAATTTTTTAAATAAAGCAGAAGAGTTATTTGTTTTCTGTGAAGGGAAAGGCAATTTGTGCTAAATTTTAAGGAAAAGGTCAGGAAACATGAGAACTTCACTACAGGAAATCAAGAAAGATGGAGCTACTGAGGCAGAGGGTGCGTTCAGAGAACAAAACACGAGTGATGTACCAGAAATACAGGAGGAGTTAAAATGTGATTTTGCTTTTTGTTTGAAAAATCCTCAGTATTCTTTGCACAAGGAGTAGAAGCTGACTTATGTCATCAGTGAGAGCAAACAGAATAAAGCAAGCCAGCGCAGGAAATGACAAAAAGAAGAATTAATGCACAACTCTCAGGAAGATGGTAGCAATAACAAAGTGGAGAATGATAAATCATGACATGCTTTCCAAAGGATATTATATTGTGGCAAATAAAAGCTAGCATTTGTTAAGCTAATTTTATGGCAGTAATGAAACTGAACATATAGACAGAGGCAGAATGAACTGACAGTAAAATCTGTAAATAAAAATATAACCAACCAGCATCAGCAACAGTCAGTTTGAGAATATTAACAGACACAGATTTCTATAGTTACAATATTTGATAAAAATGAGCAATAAAAACAAACTGAAGGAAAGCAGAGCAAAGAATATTAAGATACTTATTCAAACAGCTTGTTTCAAACCTCTTGACCATTTCAGCAGGCCTTCACTAATCAAACTGCACAACGCACAGCAGTTCAGCAGCAGAAGTAAGCTTTAGCAGGAGAGGAAGTTAACATAGTCTTACGATTTTTGATTAGATAAAAAAAATAATCGTATTGTGGCACAAGGAAACTCTTGGTGCTTTTGCTCCATTTTTCAGGTTGCTATTTCAGAAGAAGGAATGAAGCTAAGAGAAGCTTCCTACCTGGGCAAACATCTGCCCAAGTAACTGCACTCCTGAAGGAATACCAGCACCTGTGCTTCCAAGGCATGTCTGGATGCTGGGCTTTGGTTTGATAATCTACAGATCAAAGTCTTCACCAGGAGCCCTGCTTGTGGCAGGGGGTTGAAACTAGATGATCATCATGGTCCTTTTCAGCCCCTTCTCTATGATTCATTCCATGAACTCCCACAGAGTTTTTTTAAGCATTTGTATAGAGGGGCAATACATTGCTATTTAAAGGAGGAGATAAAAATCTTACTTCTTTATACAAGAGTCATCCAGAAGATCAATCTTATTCTGCACAAGAACTGTGGGAATGTCTCCAACTTCAGTCATCACTTTTTCCTTCCAGGTAGGGATTGCTTTGAAGGACTCTCTGTCAGTTGTAGAAAACACGAGAACACAGGCCTGGGCTCCTAAAAATACACAGACCGATTACAAATGCATAAAAATCAACATTCAAAATCGTATTGAATATATGTAAAGTACGAGAGGTTTCTCCACTAAAAGTCCACTTTTGCCACCAGCCTGTGATGAGCCAATGATTAGGAAACTCCCCAGATGAAAAGCACTAAGCTGCCATGTTATTTCCACCATTATGCCCATTATGCTACCCTTCAAACCATTTCCAACAAGGTGCAAGTGCACAGGGGAAGGAAGAGGAAGGGTTTTGGAAAAGACTGGAAAAAGAGAAAGAGAAGTTTGCTTACTGCTCACTTTTTCAGATAACTTAGGTGGGTGCCAAAACAGCAAATATTATTCATTCTTCAATATCTGTAAAGTGCAGTTCATGCTATTCTTTATGCTACAGTAATTTGGACTTTGAAAGTCAGAGAACTTGAAATAACCCCAGCTTGTCTACCTTAATGGAAGTTTTCCTACATTCTTTAAACACTCACATGTCTTTAAGACCCTTCTGATTTTGTTTTATACAGAATAAAAACTACCCTCAGAATTCCAGATTAAGCTCTACCAGCAAACAGCAGCAATGCAGTCTTTCATAATCCTCTCTATCTCATTACTTGTATTTTAAAATTCTGCTTGTTTTACCTAGTGTTCACATCATATTCTAACCTGATGCGCTTCCACTCAAGAAGTGAACCCTGCAAGGTATCTGCAAATTATTTTTCCTTCCAAGGCTGGTTACTTTGTCACTACTGAATTTGCACATCATCTCACCATCGAGATTAATAAAGCCTCTCAAGCTCTTGGAGCTGCTAGAGACGGGAATGTTTGAAGGGCCCTCACCACCTGCAAGCACCTCCTTGCTCAGTTTTAAGACTAACAAATGGAGTTTTCCACTCCAGGAACTTTTGCTCCAGCTCTCTTTCCATTCATTCCTTCTGAATGCTAAAACACAGAAATAACAGGGCAATAAAGTTTAGAGGGAGAAGTCCCAGCATGTCTGTAAGTAAAAAGAGGGTGGCTTACAACATCATATTGCCTTATTCAATTTATATGTAAAGCTTCTACAGTGCAGTGGACAGGGACAGTAAAGATAATGGTCAGCTTGGCCATACTGCTTTTTAAAAAGAACCATACAATGGTGTCTAACTAGGAGTCACAGTGAGATGCTTTTGGGGCCTTCCAGACTCCGATATTTGAAGGTTTCTGCCAGGAAGTTATTTCAACAAAGTGTCCTTCATAATCAAGAAGTACACCCGAGTGTCAACAATGGCAAATGATACACATGCATGTAATGGTGTACTTCCAAACTTCTGCTGGAGGTTTTGATCGCTGGCTTCTAAGAAATGCCAGAATTTACTAATCCAATAATTCTGAAAAATACTTATTTAAGAAGAGAATAAAACATGGCTTTAATATGGCTTCAGATCTCAGCAAAAGGACAGAGGCCTTACTAGGTCCATTCTTTTCATAGAATCACAAAATGGCCAGGGTTGGAAGGGACCTCAAGGATCATGAAGCTCCAACCCCCCTGCCACATGCAGGGCCACCAACCTCTCCATTTAACACTAGACCAGGCTGCCCAGGGCCCCATCCAATCTGGCCTTGAACAGATGCCCCCCCCGGGGACAGGGCATCCACAACCTCTCTGGGCAGCCTGTTCCAGCACCTCACCACTCTCTCTGTAAAAACTTAAATTTCAACTTTTCATCTTCCAAGAACACTGCTAAATACTCAATATTTTATCGATTTTCTTAAACAAGTTTAAGAAACTATAATATCTGTGTAGGAGGAAAAAAAAAAAGAAAAAAAGAGAAAAAAAAGAGAAAAAAAAAACAACAGGATTTAGGCATATAAACACCATTCTATATTTAGTAAATGGCAGCATCTAAGAGGGTCAATAACATTAGTATCTCACTGACCCACACCAAATGGAATCCTACACTACTTGAGAGGTTGCATGTAACAACAAATACCAGTAGCAAAGGCACAGGACAACATCAGACAGAAACAGAACAGCTGAAACCAGCAGATCTTCTGCACATATTTAAAGTTCTTTTGGAAGAAACTGTTTCATAAATCTTTGTGAGGTACTAAGGAAAAAGGACACTGGATTTCTTTCTGTGTGATTACTACTTCGATAATCCTCATCTCATTATTTAAGAAGGTTTTTCAGCTGGCTGGAGTCACTGATCAGACAGCCATACCTAGGCTGATTCAGGAAAAAAATACCACTAGTACCAGCATCTCTACTTGATGCAAGCAGAGCAAAAGCTTGACAGCTGAGGAGCCTCAAAGATTCTCAGCAAACTGCATCATCCTCATAGACTATGTAACCATATTTTCTCCTTTTATAACAACACACTGATTATATAACAGAAAACATATAAAGAAATTCCTTGCCATAGATGAACACAAGGATGAGCACACACACAAGAATTTATATCTGGAACCTATTTGTTTCACTCTTCTGTTCTTGCCCTTACTTACAAGCAGCTGAATAGCAGACTAATGAGTAAGATGCATCCCTTCCATCAAAAACCTACCAAGTGTCTGCTCAAGGCAGCAGTGGTAATGTTTGGAGGAGAATGCAAGCAGTAAGAAGTCATCAATGCTACCTTGAAAGATCTGTAGCGTGAAGCAAGGCATGGTGCTGCTAATGACAGCCACTTGTGTATTTGCTTAGCATATAAATGAAGCACCAACCTGCTGAGAGAATGCCTGGTTCACACAGGACACAAAAAAGTGTAACTTGTGAGAAGATGCATGAATACAGCACAAAATAGAAAAATATACATATACAAAGCTTCCTTCAACTCTTTCAATTTAAGTTTTTGGACAGTTTGAGTCCTGGCATGGTATATGATCATAGGTATGCAGCAGTGCTGGCTGCACATCATCACCTGGACAATAAAACCACGTGACAGATCTGGTGTCAGCTCTAAATTTATTTCTCTGCTAGGCTGAATGAATTCAGTCCTTGGACAAGGGCTCAGAAACAGAAGCATTTATTGTATTGTCATGGATAAGCACCTGATTCCTGAAGCACAGACAATGCACAATGTTCCAGGAGAGTATGTAACCCTCACTGTAATGACAGCAGTCAGTGGGACAGAGATCTGAACGAGGTGCAGACCTTGGAGTAACAGCCAACACTTGCTCTATCTTCCTTAGAGGCATCCTCCCCTTATCAGCAATAGAATGCACCAAAATCCTTGTACTTACAAAGTAAACTTGATCTTTAGCTTTATAACACTGTGCTTGCAGACCTGTTGCTAAACAGAAATTCCATTCCAGCCTCTTAAAATTTCCCTTGTCCTTCAAAGTTTAGTGCAGAATAGTCACTGCATCGAACAGCTCAGCATAGTTAAGATATCCATCGCATAATTTGCAACATGTATCCACAGGATGACTACCTGCTGCTCCACAACAGCCTCTTCAATACAAAAATCTCAAAGGCAGAGTTCTACCTGCACCGTGAGTCATCAGCAAGACATCAAGATCTCCAGGCAGATTATTTCTTAAACCACCAGTTTTGATGCTAAGGGAGGAGATTGATACTCCATGCTTTAGCATGGCACTGACAGTCATTAGGAGAAAAAAGCTTTGGCTTGAAACAAGTGATAAAGAAGCTCAAAGATAATCAAGTGCTACCTTCTGAAATTTATACGCTCAACTTGTTAGCTGTAAAACAACAGAATGGTCTATTTTCATAGGAGGATAGAAAGAAATAGAAGTTTCTTTTGCTGAAGAAATGATAGCCAACAATCACAAGGGACAGCAGGAAATACTACTTTTTAAAAAAGTAGTTAATCAAAATTACCATGAAATACAAAAAGCTCAGAAAACTGTAGCACCTTTGAACATTAAGGCATAACTATCAGTCACAACCTGAATTCCCACCCAAAACTCCAGAACAACTGCCTTCAGTTATTTTAAGAGAGCATATTGGATCAAAAATAGGTCATCACATAAAACAAATTAAGTTTGATTTTGAGTTAGATTGCTTGAAATATGTAGGAGTTTCTGTACAGACATTTGCCTTGTTCTGGTCTATGCTTTTTTTAAAGGACAATATTGTATAAAGAGGCACTTAATCATGGAGAGGATTGTACATAAAGGGGAAATACATTCACAGACTGAAAAGGGGGAGCTAAACATACTTTGCAAACACAAATTACTGAAATTTTTAATCCAGAAATAGGAAAATATTTTAAAGACAGGTTCCAAACCCAACCAACTACCAAACATGGTATTTTCACCTCTGTAGTAGGCCTTAGTTATTGCATCAAATTCCTCTTGACCTGCAGTGTCCCATAACATTAGCCTGACATCTTCATCATTAACTCTGAAATAAATGACATGGTTCTGCGATTAATACAAAGCAATTGGCATAGAAGCATTTCCATCTCTACAATTAAAAAATAATGTTAATTTAACATAGTAAAAACTTAGTATTGGTGATGGTTCAACTCCATACTATACCATGATGGAGACTAAATCTGTAGTGTAGATTGTTAGTTAATAAAATCATGCAAATGTTTTATCATAAGCACTTCCACTTCAAATAACTAAAAAGAGAAAATCTCAACAGATGGTAGAGCACACAAGAAACTAGTCAAAAATCTTAGAATAAGAGAGGTTCAAAATTTTAATTTTGATTTACAACTCTAAATCTGTAAGAGAAAATTGAGTTCATGAAATTTTTTACCACAGTTCAAAAGAAAAATCAGCTCCCTTGACTTAGCTTTAGAGACTGCAGGCTTTGTGTTTCAAGTATCCGTCAATCTTAGGATTACAAGAGAACAAAGAAACAGAGGGGAATGTAAAAATACATGGCATGACATCTGTTTGATACATACTGGATTTGTCTTTCCAGGAAATCTACACCAATAGTTTTCTTGTAGTCCTTTGTAAAGATCCCCTTGCAGTATCGCTGAATCATACTGGACTTCCCAACAGCTCCATTTCCTACCACTACCACCTTGATGGCCACCTCCATGTCCTCTTCCAACATCTCTGCAGCTCAGGTGCCTCTCTGTCTTATTCACCAATCTATCAATCCTGTAAACAAAATAAATAGCTGCGTTCATAAAAATACGGTGAACAGAAGAGGAAAGATGATTTCACCTTAGGATTCTCAAAGACCACAGAATCATAGAACAGCCTTAAAGAACATCTAGTTTCAAACTCCTGCTGTGGGCAGGGCAGCCCCCCACCGGCTCAGCTGCCCAGTGCTCACCCAGCCTGGCCCTGAGCACCTCCAGGGATGGGGCACCAATATTCTCTGAGTAAAGAATTTCTTCTTAACATCTAACCTCAAATTAAATTAGTTTAAAGCCTTTTCCCCTTGTCCTATCACTATCAGGCTGTGTAAAAACGCTGGTCCCTCCTGCCTGTAAGCTCCCTTCAAGTGCTGTCAGGCTGCACTCAGCCCTCCCCACAGCTCTCTTCTCCAGCCTCAACCAGCCCAGCTCCCTCAGCCTGACTGCACAGCAGAGCTGCTCCGGCCCTCCCAACGCTTCTGTGGCCTCCTCTGAACCCACTCCAAAACCTTTTAAAAGCAAGAACCCGCCCTAAAATGCTTCTTTTTGAAAACGTTTAAATCTTCACCCGATTGACGCTGGATGCACGCAGCTCTACATTCAAGGCTCCCGCCCCACAACGCAGGATCTCACCCCACACGCAGGGCTGCCCCACTCCCTTCCGTTTCTTTCGTCTGTGCCCACGGGTACATTAACCAGAAACAGACCCAAACCGCTGAGGTACGCGGGCAAAGGTCAAGGCGCAGGCAAGCTCATCGGACAGAGAGAGGCTTATGCAAACCAGCACCTCTCGGTGGGAAGATGGAAACGGGAACACCGTCCCGGCTGCAGCCCGTGAGGTGCTCCCGCCCCAGCCCTCCGCCTCTCCGGCCGGCTAACGCTTCCGTACCGCCGTGCTACACACCGCCGCCCGCTCGCTCAGGAAGCGCAGCCGCCCACCCAGGGAGCCCGGCTTCCCCGAGGACCTCACGGGCACCCCCCGCCAGCGTTCCGCCCTGCCCCGCTCCCCCCCGACCCCACTCTCCCTCTCACCGACTCCTGGAGCGGCGGCGGCTCCGCCTCGGAGACAGCGAGGAAGGGAAGGATGGAGGGAGGGAGGAGGCGGCGGAGGAAGGGAGACGAGAGGAAACCGCTCGCTGGGGCCGACCCAACCCGGACGCACATCCCGGCTCCCCCGCCCGGAAACGCCGTCAGGACCGCGGTCCTGTCTGGGAGGTGCCCGCCCGCAGCCCCCGCCCCCGGCTCCGCTCGATGCCCCCACAGGGCTGGGTGTCGGGGCCGTAGTACAGCCCAGCTCGCCAAGATCCGCCCTGCACCGCCTGCCTCTGCCCCATCTCCCGAGGGGTCTGTCAGCATCATGGGCTGCCCTCGGGCTTTCCTCTCTCAGAGTAATTATTACAGCCAGATGGTGTTCTGTGCATGGTGTTCTGGGTATTGTCTAGAACTCTTTCCATGTCTGTAAGACATTAGGACAGGGGAATGGTTTGGGTTGGAAAGGACCTCAAAGCCCACCCAGCGCCACCCCCCTGCTGTGGGCAGGGCAGTTCCCCACCAGCTCAGCTGCCCAGAGCCCACCCAGCCTGGCCCTGAGCACCTCCGGGGATGGGGCACCACAGCTCTCTGGGTGGCTGTGCCACTGCATCACCACCCTTGTAGCACATAGCTTCTTCCTCACATCCAATCTAAACCTACCTCCCTTCAGAATAAAGCCATTACCCCTTGTCCTATCACTACATACCCTTGTAAGAAGTCTGTTTTGTGAAGCCACTGAATGTTATAAACTGTTAAGTGCATTGTGCAAAGTGTTAAAGGTTTTGTTCTGCTTCTGAAACATACTCCACTTGTGTTTTTCAAGACGTGAACAACAGGCTGTATTTGTGTGCTCTTCAAGTGCTTACTTTTGTCTATATAGTTATCTGTGGTGATCATTTCTTTCATGTTTGGTAAAACCTGGTGCCCACAATTCAGACATGAATTGAGCTTGGTAGGAAATAAAGTGGGGAGATGTGCAAGATGTGAGATAATCTTACTTTGTTACCCACTGTATACTGAATTCCTGTTTTCAAAGCTTTATAAACAAATATATATAAACAAACTTTTTATAAGGGCAGGTAGCAACAGGATGAGGAGAAATGGTTTTAAACTAGAAGAGGGTAGATTTAGACTAGATATTAGGAAGAATTCTTTACTGTGAGGGTGGTGAGATAATGGAACAGGTTACCCCCAGAGGATGTGGATGTCCTCTCCCTGGAAGCACTCAAGACCAGGCTGCATGGGGCTTTGAGCAATCTGGTCTAGAGAGAGGTGTCCCTGCCTATAGCAGGGGGTTGCAACTAGATGATCTTAAAGATCCCTTCCAACTCAAACCATTCTATGATGCTATGAAATTGAGTATGTTTTAGCTTAATTATAGTCTTAAGATCTAAGGATGTTCCATTTTTTTTTCAGCTGGTGCACTAAAAGGCATTCCCTGACTTAACACACCCTTTTTGTATTGCAAGGCACATCTGGTTGGCTGCAGAGACCACTTCTATTACCCAGCCAGCACTTCTGCTATTCATGTGTTACCAAACAACACTCAGGTGTTACCAGTTAAAAGCTTCCTTGCACAACTGAAATGGCTTTATCTCCTCCCAAGGCTACATTTTTGTTCTCCAGAGTGAGTCAGTGTTGTGTATACTTGAATAAATGCCTTTTCAATGAGCACGTTTTGCTGCTGTGCTTCAAAAGAACAGCTAAGCTGTATGCATTGTGTTTATTCTGTTTTGTTTGTGCTAGTCTCAGCAGCTAGGTTGCTAGTCTCAAGGTCTATTCCATGTCACAGCTTTTGTGTGCTAAAAGGCCTTGAATTACTGAACCCTCCCATTAACTTTAAGAGAAAGTTATGTGTATAATGCTAAAGTAATCTTGCATAAACAGCTATGCACATTGGGAAGCAGATCAGTGCTGTGGTAGATGTGCCGAGGTAAGACAGCGTCCTACCTTCTACTTTGTATTCCCCTTTATGGGCCTCTGAGAGGTCTCGTTAATCCCTTTTTGCTGTACTGTTTCACCAAGGTCACCTGTTCAGACAATTTTTTCCACATTTCTCCTATGATTACTGCTTTCTAAGTCAGATTTTACATGAGCATATAATCCATAATAATTTTTTTCCAGATGTATTACATTATACTTAACTACAATTAAATTAAATTAAATTACTTTCATTGCAAAGCACATCAGGTTGATCTATAAGAGAAAAATAATGCCATCCTTTAATACGGTTATCTGTTTGTTAAATGGCAAGCTTTACTTGAGTATCACTGTCTGTATTATCAATAAAAATGTTAAATAATCTTTCAGTAAGAATCCTTGGAAAGCCAGTTGGAGTCCCTCCAGTTGCTGACTTCTCTGTCACCACAGCTATGTTTTGATATCTCTCAGGGAGCCAATTCAGTGTATCTGCTGTATGCTCTGGTTCCTGGTTTTGGTTTGTGGTTTTTTTTTGCAACAAAACGTATACATTTCAGCCAATGAAATTCTGAAAAAAACAAAACAAAAACCACCAACCAGCATCTTCTTTATATCTATGAAAATGCAGTGCTTGCTGTACTTAAGTCACTATATTTGTTAATGTTACGAGTGTTTTATCAACAGAATCAGAGAAATTCAGTTGTGTTGCATCAAAATTCTTGTAGTTCTAACCATCCTAATGTTTATTACTACCATTATTAATGCAGTATTATATAAATCTTATAAATGCCCATCAAAAATAACAGGGATATATAAGTTGAAGTTCTGAAACATCAACAGTTCTGAAAACAGTTCTCATGCTAAGGGCAATAGATGGTGTGCTTGGAACCTTGGTTGTAAATAGGTTAAAGAAACCAGTTGCCAAGTGATGCACTCAGAATTATCAGGTGCAGGCAGTACATCGTGTGATGGCCAAGTAGAATTTCTAAATACAGTTGTTTCCATTAACGCCTTGAAACTCAATAAAAAATACTTGATCTGTGTGCTGTGTGTGAAGGAGAGAAAAATGGAAATAAATGGGGACAACATCAAGATTGAAACGCTACATGTTAGTTAATTCAGTTCTGTCTATTGGAGAATTGTGTTGTTTTAGCACTTGCTCTGGCTTACTTCATCAGGAAGTGCATTTAGCTGAAGAAAATGCTGAAGGTGTTTAAAATTGTGTATACTGAGAGTTTCTGATAAATTGCCATTAGCAGTGTTGTTTGCAGTGATGGACTTGTTTCTCTTTTCTGCTCCTGCTGCTTTATGTAGCCAGTGAAAGAAATGTCATGTCTGCCTGAGGAGGGGTCTGCCACCGAACGAGGAAATGAAGGCATTGACATTAATTGGGTCACAATTTGAAAATATTTCATATTATCCATAGAGTTGTAAGGGACCCCTGAAGGCCTTTGTAGCAGAAATGCTGAGTCACAGCCTAAACCAGTGACTGAGCACCTGGTGGGAAGACAGGGCTGACACAGGGGGCCTCAGGTACATGCAGTGCAGCTGAGTGACTGGAAAGGGTGCAGCCAGGATTCACCTCTTCTCAGACCTCATATAAGGGTTGGCAGTGGATGTGAGAGTATCTTGTTGGAGATCCCTGCTTCTGAAGGTGAGTAGCTTTTTTGTTGTTGTTGTTCATTTCTGTGTCCATGGTAGCTCTACTTGGGCTTGTCCTTATTTGCTGCAACTGAAGACTTTTCCACCCCACTATTATTGCCATACTTTCTATTACATTGTAGCATTACAGCCGTCTAGCCCAATGATTTGAGGAACAGCTTGCCTGACCTTTTCTCTCGTTTGTGGCCTGTGACAATCAGTAAGATGTCCTTACCATGCAATGGCATTTGAAACTTGCAGTGGTGAGAGCTACAATAAAGAGTACACATGTGGATCCCTCTAACTGGTCTTGTAATGCTGTTGCCAGACGTTTACTTATAGGAGAAAATTTTCAAGGAGTGGAGCAATTCCTAGCTGTCATATTAGTAGAAGCAGAAAACTTCAGCTTTGTCTAGGAGTCATATGTATGCAAACTATTTTTGAATTAAATTTACATCCTGTGTGAGAATCAACCATTTCAAATTTGTTGTTAAGATAGAGGGTATCACCACACTGTACTGAGGAGTCAGCATCTTTGTATCCTTGTTTTTGAAAGCACTGTTCTGCACATTACAGATGTTGCCTGCTGTACCCTGTAGATATTTCTTAATAGAATGCAGTTCATGTGTGGGCTGCCATGTTAGGAACTGTTACACTGATTCAGTCTGTGAAATTTAGACCATGTCAGCTGAAAATACCACAAAGCAGATGAATGTCAGAGATTGAACTATTGTATTTCAGGATATGCTTTTTTGAAGTCGAGGCAATCTGAATATTTCATGGCTACTACCTAAAACACAAGCATTTGGGAAAAATGTAGCTACGATCTAGGAATGGTCAGGAAGAGTTGCATTTATCGTATGTTATAAACTTGTCTACATGATGTCTCACCTGGTTTGTACTGTGAAACGCCATGTTTTATACTCAAGATCCATGGAGAAGTGACCGCTGAACTCTGTAATGATGAGATTATGGATGTATATTTTGAGATTAGTACTGATCTGTAGGAATTCTATGTTACTGACTACGTAGTTATATAGATGTACAATTCTTTGGGTAGAACATGTAGTGGAATGTAGGATGTTAAAGGAATGTAAAAATTATTAAGATGTTAATCTTTTAATATTTATGGTTAAAAGGAGTCACAGGTCCCATTTAGGTTGTATTTAGGTGGAAGTGACTGCTCCTGGGCAACCTCTGTGATTATACAACGTTGTGAGCTGGGAGGGTAATTTATTTATATATTAAAGTATATTAACATTGATGTATACATTTCATAAAAAATGAATTTTCATGAAGAAATAATTTGCTGTGGGAATGCATTAATTGGGAATTAGATGTCATTTGGTTAACTTCCCCTCTCTGACCAAGTAACTTCAGTGATTTTTTTTACCCATATGCTGGGGGGATGAAAAGTTTTGTGAGCTAGATTCCATTTTTCCAAATGATAACACTAAGCACTGGACAAATAAGTGTAAAGGATTACCAAAATGTTGCCTCGTGCTTTTTGTGAGGTTGTAAGCTCACCATATGATGACTCCTAGGGCAAATGGTACATACTGTTCTTGCTGTACTGTCCTTTTTGGCCTGCTT